AAACAAAAAAACATCCTCATATCCTTCCAGTAAACTCTGCTTCCTTGCTTAAATAAGTTCAAAGTGGCTTATGTTACTTGTAGCCAAAGAATTTTAACTAATAGTGAGTAGTACCTACATTTGACTTACAAATGTATATGCAGCTCTTGCTATCCTCCTTTCTTTGCCCCTGTGCATAGTTTAGATAACATGTAAGTTCGTAAAAAGAATACAGAAATGTCTTCCTTACTTTTCTTTTTAACATTCTACTCTCTAGAATCAAATCTTCACCTATTACTTCTACATCTGTATGTCTGTGTCACCAACCCATCAGCACTCCTATCTGATATTTGAGTATGTCTATCCATATTTGAGTCACTCAATCTCAACAGATATTTATACTGATTTCATCCTATCTTGTTTGCTTAATGTCTGTGCTTAATGCTACTACCATCCTACTGGTTATCCAGGCTTAAAGTCCTAGAGTACCTTTTATCTCTAATAAACTTAATTTTGGAATAATTCTAGATTTACACAAAGATAAGAGAGTTCCTGTATACCCCTCATCCAGTTTCTCTTATGTTAACATCTAACATTACCAACGTATTATTTGTCAAAATCAAGACACTAACTAGGTATATTATTATTAACTGAACACCAGGCTTTATTTGGACTTCACCAGTTTTACCACTAATGTCCATGTTCTGTGCTAGGATCCATTCCAGGATATCACACTGCATTTAGCAGCAGTAACTTTGCAGTCCTCAATCCTCCCCAGATGCCACACTCAATTAGTTATCAAATCTTATTAACACCCTACATGACCTTTTCTCTTCATTCTTATCACCACCAAAACTATATCTCAAAGCTCTAAGTTTTCTCATATTATTTTCTCTACCCATTCTGATCTCTCATCTTTCAACTCCACCTACTACTGAAATCCTCACACTGTCCAAAATCCAGACTCAATAACACTGCATTGATGAAACCATTCCTGATTCCTCTTACTAGAATTGGGTTCAGCCTAGAAAAGTAGCAAAAACAGTATATCATATCATAGAATTTATGTTTTTCAGGTGTTAATTACACAAAGACTTAAGTAACAATCTCATCACCTTGGTTTGGGTTCTATTGTACTGTATACCAATTTCAATGTACAAATACAAAAAACAGATATAAAAAGCACTTTTAAAAATTTCCTTACAAATAAAAACATTAAATTACCTGTGCTCACAGCAATGCTTACACTTTTTTTCACGTGCAAGCCAGGGGAAGACTGTGCTTCCATGGAAACCAACTCCACTTGTCTGGCAGCTGGCCCTGTCTCTTCAACAGTGGTTGTCTTAGGGGGACAGGGATTCAGAGATTGTGCTTCCAATAAGCGCTGAATCTGTATACATTAAAAACATACTTTAAACTAACAGCAAAGCAACTGACAAAAAAGGTAGCAGAGTTTAATAATGAATTACAAAGTACTCCAATTATAAAAAACTGAATTTTAACTTCATTTTCTCACATTTAAATTGGATCATACCATAAAACTTATTGAATTTAGAAAGGTATTATCAGTAGTTATTAAGAGAGAAAGGAACACTTTTACACTGTTGGTAGAACTGCAAACTAGACCCCCTAGTGACAGTCTTTTGTCTAGACTGTTTATCGCAGCTCAATTTACAATCACTAAAATGTGGAAATAGCCTAAATGTCCCTCAACCCAGGAATGGATTGGCAAGCTGTGGTATATGTACACCATGGAATACTATTCAGTCATTAAAAGAAAATGGAGATTTTGCAGCATTTGTATTAACCTGGATGGAGGAGGAACACATTATTCTTAGTGAAGCATCACAGGAATGGAGAGGCATGAATCCTATGTATTCAACTTTGATATGAGGACAATTAATGATAATTAATGACCGAGTGGGAGGTGGGGGAAGGGGAGAGGAGACAGAGAGAAGGAGGGAGGGGTGAGGGAAAGGAAAAAAAAGAAGCACTTTAAGTATAAATTTACAAGTAAAACATAAAGGTGTTTAGTATTTATAAACTGATGTTCACATAGAAAAGTCTGAATAGTTAATGCTTCAAACCAATATTTTATTCTTATTACACTTAAACATTAAAAGTTTGATTGGGGCTCAGCACCTGTGGCTCAAGTGGCTAAGGCGCCAGCCTCGTACACCTAAGTGGCGGGTTCGAATCCCCAGCCCGGGCCCGCCAAACAACAATGATGGCTGCAACCAAAAAATGGCCAGGCGTTGTGGCGGGTGCCTGTGGTCCC